ATTAACATAATTACATGCTTTACGCTAGAATTATTTGCACAAAGGACGGAATATAAATGTTGATGTTTACACTGTACCAGAAAACTTTGTATTAAATCATTTGCATAAACAATTTCTGACGACAAAGAATAGATGAGGAGGAAATCAGAAAAAGTCGTAAACAAGCATAAAGATACAATAAAAGATGAAGAGAGGGGGTGGGAAGTGATTTAAGAGTCGTCGGCATCAACTTTTACGGGCCATCGTATCTCACAAAGGGATAGAAGTCTGAAGTCAAGTCGGGGTTGCTTGATAACGGCAATTGAAGTACTAAATGCTAAAAGATAAGACACATGCAGAAGAAGGTCCAACCACACGAATGGTCTTTGATTAAGGAGATCGAAGAAATGGATGCCAAGCTGATAAGGAGAATGAAGTCCTTTACATAAGTACAACTAGATGATAGATAAGCTGCTGTAGATTTATATAGAATCGCTTATGATAGCACTGATAATAGGTTGAGATTCGCTAAGAAGTTAATTCGCATATGTGAGAAAGTCTCAAAGTGATGTGCATGCTCCCCACAGCTCGCATAGACAGTGAAGCGAGTAGAAAAGTACAGGACTCCTGGTTCGACTGAAAGTAATGCACACCGAGCCCCAAGCTGACTTAGCACGGAGCCATGAAGTCAAAACTCGTATGGATGCAAGATGCGACCCACAGCCAACTGTCCTACGCTCGAGACCTGCCCCGGCAACCTCGCACTTCCACGAGGCCTCTGGAGCTGTGACCACGCGGGCAGAAGACATCGACCCAAAGAGGTAGGAGAGTCGACAGGTCATAATCCAGTCACATGACTAACGGTGTACATCTTTGCACTCGTTATAATGTTTATTGCTGCAATTAATGCAATGGAACTGAACAGACGTATAACACTCAAGACTATTGATAACTATACTAATGATAATGTATGACCAAGCTGATTAAGTTTTGAGATTCATACATTGAACTTAAGTCAATAATAACAGATGAAAAGAATGGTGCCCAAGTCATTATAGTGGCAAATCATTATAAAAATTGAATCCAACAAATCCAGTGGACATACTGAATAATGAATTCATCTGATCGCCAGCACTCACAAAACCACATAAATAAACAGCTGTAAATATTAAATGTATAGGTATAGAAAATGGAAGTCAAGCCTGGGATGTGCCAAGTAATAAATGTGATAGACTCACTTCACCAAGCATAGTATATTAGAGAATGCATGTATAAGCAATGATGTATCTACTGATATTTCACGACATTGTTGTTATTAAATTGTAGTATATTTTTATGTTAAATTCTCTATAGATATTTTGCTAATTTGTGTTTTGTTTTTCCTTTTTTTTAATTTTTGCTGGTTTTTGCACATAATTGTAAGTCAGTAAAATCATCACTAATTATGTAAAGAAACGTTTTTGCCCCTGCTTACAAAATAACATTATATACTCGTATATACATATGTACCTATGTGTATGTTTATGCGTTTATATAATATCAAAGCTGATAAATAGAGGGATTTATGATCAAGCGATTGAATGAATTATATCGATGCATATACATTAGCTGATATATATAGTAGAGTAATGAATGATCAATACTACTAATATATTATTAGAAGATAAGATATTACCTCACAATAGCTATCGTATATGTAGTAAGGATATAAAGAATGATATAGTAAAAATTTGTGATACATGTAACAAATTGGACTCCATACGACATACATGAAACTAAGTATGCATAGTCTGATAAGGAGATGAAATCAGCCAAGATTGAACAGAAGATATATGATGTATCATACCATGCATTAAGCTGATAGGAAGATTAGAAAGAACAATAAAATGCCCTAAAAAGTACTGATATAGGAGAATGAAGTCACAATACCACAATGAAGCGATCATAAATATTGAAACTAGCTCCATCTGGTCAAGTGCAGATATATTACACAGTAGATGTATGCAATCTGATATGTGACAGATAACACAGAATTGAAGCATGAGAGTTAGATTGCCATATGAGCCATCATTGAATAAAGGTAATACTGTATATGGGCTCGTTATAAAACTGATCACAATGAACTCTGTAGGCGCATATGAATAAGCATTGCCAAGCTGAAATAAGAAGGAGATGAAGTCACCAGATGAAGAAAATGGTGGCCCAAGCTGAATAAGGACGATGATCAAACCAGATGAAGCAGTGGAGCCTAAGCTGATAAGGGAATGAAAGAAATGAAATGCTAGCTGAATTAAGGAGATGAAAGTCAAACCAAATGAAAGCAGTGATGCCCAAGCTGATAAGGAGAATGAAGTCAAACCAGATGAAAGAAATGGTGCCCAAGGGATAGGATTGAAAGTCAAACCAGGATGACAGTGGATGCCTAATGGATAAGGAGAAATGGAGTCAAACCAGATGAAGCAGGTGATGCCCAAGCTTGAAATAAGGGATGAATCAACAGGATGAAGATGGGTCCAAGCTGATAAGGAGATGAAAGTCAAACAGAAATGAAGCCAGTGATGCTAAGCTGATGGGATGGTCAAACCAAGATGAAAGCAGTTGGCCAACTGATACGAGAATGAAAGCAAACCAAGAGAAATGGGTGCACGCCTGATAGGAGATGAAGCACATGATGCCTAGCTGATAAGGAAGATGAAGTCAAACAGAATGAAAGCAATGAATTGGCCGCTGATAAGAGATAATATGAATCATGATGGAAATACAGACTTCAAAATGAATCCAACATCTTGCCCACAGCTGAATAAGTCGAAGGATGCGACAATAAGTACCGAGCGAGTGGAAACCCGTCGGATGTTCCCCTCGGTCCGCTAAGGCCAGTCGATCTTGCCCGCAGTAGTCCGAGATATTCCAGTCAGGATAGCGACTGATGACTGGAACTGCCTGTCAGCCACACGACAGCGAACTGCAACAAGTACCTCAAAAGGCATGTGCAAGGGTAGGAGGAGACGTCGGAACGGCCCCCTAAAACTCTTCTGGGTGATTGCACCAACTTTAGTATCCTAAGACTAAGGAATGCACAGTGGATTTAAATTATTTAGGAGTCTAGAGGCCACAAAAAAAAAAGCTGTCCCTATATGAAAAGAAAGACTGGGTATAACTATTAATGCTGTTGTATCTAAAATTGCCTTAGGCATAGACGATGGTCGCCGCAATCCAACGCTATCAAATGAATCAGGTAAACATAAAGGATGACCACCTAAATTAGCCTTTGATAAGCTTTCTGGTTCATTTAGCAGAGAATAAGCGTTGTCCCAATCACGCTCAAGGACGATGGAGCTTGAAAGTGATCGTGGTAAGTTCAATTCCGTGGCAAAGGATACAGTGCGATCTTCCACCCCAATTATGAATGGCCCTACTGATAACACAATCATGTGTGTGGCTCGTGCAAACGTATTGCAACGACATAAGACTTAAAGGTATGATGCCAAGCTGATTAAGCGAGGATGAGTCAACAGTCGAACGCGGAGGAGTTGAACAATGCGATACTATCGAGCTCGGAGGTGCACACGTAATCATAAAAAATCGGTAATAAAAATACTGATAATAGTTAATGTAAGAATGATTCCAAACCAGATTAAAGTAATGATGCCCAAGCTGAATAAGGAGAATGAAGTTCAAAAGATAAGTAATGATGCCAGCTGAATAAGGAGATGAAAGTCAAAACCAAGAATGAAGAAAGATGCCCAGCTGATAAGGGAGAATGAAGTCAAACAGATGAGAAAATGTGCCCCAAGCTGATAAGGAGATGAAGTCAAACAAGATGAGAAATGGTGCCCACTGATAAGGAATGAAGGTCAAACCAGATGAAGCAATGTGTATGCTTGCACAAATGTTGATAATAGGAAGTTGAAGAAGTCTGCCCAACACATCCAGGTATGATAGTAAATAGGTTGTCTCTCTAATTCCAAGACCTTGCTGTGAACTCACTTAAGTGTGATGGTGGTACTAATCTTTATTACTAAATTTAAGGGATATGTTGATTTTATTTACGTTTTATTTTATTTAGTATACCCCATATCTTTGCAGTCAATACATGGCATTAGCATGCTGATTTGTAGTGCACTGTTTCATTTGAATATTCTCAGTTGAGTATGTTTTAAAAATCTGTCCTATTTTCCACTATTAATTGCATTCTTTTACAAGGTTAATTATGATTTTATTCAATTTCCAGGCAAGGACAACAGGACGGAGAAAGAAGGTGGGAGAATGTAAGAGTGAAGGCCTGCTGCTTCAACCCCGATCCGCCCGTACCCGCATGTGCGCCAAATCGCTTCAAATGTCCACTGCCGAATATCGATCAACAGTTGGCCCCTTTGCAATGAAAACGTCTCCGATTCCGATGGCAAGTTGCTCCTTCTCTTTCTTTCTCCAATAATTGATACAATATTAAGCTAATAAAGCAGGGCATCAGTTATAATAGTTATCATAGTATGACACTTCATTCAAAGGTCTTCTCAACAGCCTGATGCAAGTTCTGGGCCGCCAACAACGACTGTCACTGCAAGTGGACGGATGGTGACTGCTCTTGGCAACACTTCGTCGCCCGTGCCTGTCCCCGCAGCTGTGGATGCCAAGGCAATGTGGACGTCACGAAGCCTCCTGTAATTGACTACCCTTGCGTGGACTGCTCTACCGGCCAACAGTACTGGCAGCATCCCAGCGACTGCCGCAAGTTCATCCAGTGCACATCGTACGGTCCTCAGGAGATGCCATGCGGAGAAGGAACAGTGTGGGACCAAAACCTGCTCACCTGCAACCATGTATGGGCCACTGAGTGCTTGACAGGCAACTTCCTTCTCACTAACGGAAGCTGTTCAGGATGCTCAGGATGCACTCCCTCCAGCAAAGCCCCCAACCAACCTCAACACACAAACCTGTCACACCAGGCAACTTCACCTGTGTAGATTGCTCCACTGGTCAGCAATACTGGCAGCATCCTACCGACTGTCACAAGTTCATTCAGTGTGCCCTTATGGTCCCCAGGAAATGCCATGCCCTGCAGGAACCAGGTGGGACCAGAAGATCCTTACCTGCAACCATGAATGGAACACCCCATGTGTGACAGGGAACTACCTTCTACCCAATGGAAGCTGTTCGGGTTGCACTGGATGCCCAACTGTGACCAGCCCACCAGTAATTGGATGCGGTGGCGAGAATGCAGACTGCAAGCATTGGGCTGCCAGCGGAGCCTGCACCTGCAAGGCAGGTAGTGACTGTACTTGGGCAAACCAAGTGGCTTCAATGTGCCCCAAGACCTGCCGAGGGGAATGCGGCCCAATTACTTCACGACCAGACGACTGCAACCCCTCGTGTCCTTCTTACAGTGGTCTTTTCCCACACCCAAAGGCCTGCACCAAGTGGGTTCACTGCGATCACTTCATCCCCTACGTGAAGGACTGCCCTGCCGGTTTGCACTTTAACCCAACACTCAAGGTACATAGTGATTTCTTAAGCAAGAACGGAGAACCTTCTATTACACTATTCCACTTAATCTCATCCTTCATGTCAAATGGGGTCTCCAGTTTTGAGTATACTTGCTTCTGACCATTTTACATGCTTTGATACTTTATGAATATGTTCTGTATCCATGTCATTTGGAACTACATTTTATATTCTATTGGTGATGTCTAAATCTTTACTTGTTTAAAAAGGTATGCGACTGGCCATATAGGGCAGGCTGTACCTCAGGGGAGCACCAGACTTGCGTAATTCCCCCTCCCCTAATCCCTACTGGCCCCCCTCCTACGCCAAGCCCCGAATGCATATGCGAATGTTGCCATCTCCCTCACCCGAATGACTGCGCAGCGTATTACTACTGTGATGTAGGTTATTTCTTGTTTGATTATATTATTTATATTTGATTCACATATCTTTTTTCAGTCTGAAACGTGCACATGATTGAATTTGGTATATCAAAAGCAATCTGAGTGATGTAACATCCAAACACAATGACTCAGTAGAGATTAAAATATTTACAGGTGAACAAGAACAGTACCTTCTTCACGTGCCCATCTGGGCTAGTATTTAACCCGGAGAAGGATACATGTGACTACCCTGAAAATTACCCACAATGTGTCATTGAACAGCCTCCAACTTGCGAGTGTGACTGTCACTATCCCTCAGGGGTTTGCAGCGAATATTATGTCTGTGAGTGACTAAGTCAACTTCACCAATTGGGTTATCAAACTTCGAACATATTTCTAATTTCAAATGGGTTACTAACGTGCCATGCATAAATATGCCCCTTCACTGATTGGTGCATGATTTCTTGTGTTTTTTTCCAGGCAACGACGGTACGCCCGAAAAGAGGGAATGCCCCTCCGGTCTCCTCTGGAACCAAGAAACGAAGTCCTGTGATCATGCCGGCAACGTCGATTGCAGCAATCGGCGAACGTAAGGCTTCGATCGTGCAACTAGGCCAGGATTTTCGATCCGAAAGACACATGACACAGAAATCTTCCATTAACTACAGTGAAACGTCCTCACGACCTTCTTTAAGAATTACGAATTGCCAAAAAGCACGACCAAATGTTTTTTTTGGAAAAGTTGCTTCCTTGATCTTATTTTTTTTATGATATTGTTTTCTGATGATTATGTTTCTTTGTCAAAAATTTGAACTCTTCTTGCAATGCATCTTGAAAAAGCATATATGTATATTTTCATTTCCCGAAATAAACCACGAGCGTATAATCAAACTCTAGCCAAAACTAAAATACTATTACTACTGCGCCAGTCAAAATACTCGACACTATGAACGAGAGTGAAAAATAATCATGAAATTAAGGCATGGACTGCAAAAAATACTTATTGAAGAGGAAGAAGAAGCAAAACAATCTGAGATTCGGACAATACATGCACAGTATGCACACCAAATAGATATGATAACTCCTTCCCTGTTCTCTTTTCACACATCCTGTTCCTTGGCGTCCTATGTGCTGAGTGACAGACGTGAAGGATCCCCATACAGACGTTACATGAAAATGTAGCCAAAGAGAGATTCGATTTACAAGCAAATTTTATATTCTGTTGATACTTAACATTTTTTACTACACTGAAAGGCACACAAAAATATACATATATACAAAAAATATACATATACAAAAAATATACATATGTACAAAATATACATATGTACAAAAATATACATATGTACAAAAATATACATATGTACAAAAAATATACATATGTACAAAAATATAATATATAATACAATATGTATATATAGAACATATATGTTTATATATATAATACATATATGTATATGTGTTTGTATATATATACACATGCAGAGACAGCTAGATAGATATCAAAGGTATATGTATATGTACACACACACACATATATGTACGTATATGTAAATATATACATGTGCATAAGTATACATATATTTATGTATATATGTATGTATGTAAATATATATATATATATATTATATATATTATATATATATATATATATATACATTTATACCAGCTTGTATACATATATGTCATGCGCCATCGACCGATCTGCGCTATCGATCGATCGCTGCGCCAACGATGGCCGCTGATTAGTGAAATCACCGATGCGAAGCCACGATCGGCAGGTGCGCGTTCGAGGAATACATTTCCTTTGAGGAATTTATCGAAGGGTTTGTTAAAGGTAAAATAAAAATAATGAATAAAAAATGCAACTTGTGATATATGAGATTTTATCAGTTTGGCTTTTATCAGCAGGAGAGAGTGACACTATAATTACTGAATAGGATGTGATATGATGATGAGTTCGTCATGTAGTCTCAGTTAGAAGGCTAGTATAGAAGATGGCCTCCAAAATTACATGCTATACGATTGAAAATGGAGTTAATAAAGAAATAAACACTAATAAAGACGTGGGAAGTGAGACTCTCGACCGTTTACAAAGTTCCGTGCATTTTTGCCCTTTTTTCACCATCTTATATATACTGAAAAAAACATCAGTTTGCATCAATATATAAAATGAAAAAGGGCACTAGATCAAGGAGCAATGCTATTTCATACGTTACAAGATGTTTGCTAAATCGGTAGAAAGCAATCGGTGGCGCAGAACGATCTGCCGATCATGGCTTCGCATCGGTAACTAATCAGCGGCCATCAATGGGGCAGATCGGTGAATGGCGCATGACATACATACACACACAATTTATATATATATATATATATATATATATATATATATATATATATATATATATACACATATCTATATCTATCTACATATATACATATGAAAGATAGAATAAATGCACTACCGCATTTTTATCATGAATATATAAACCTCTCTGTTCGGGGATCGATCCCGCGCCGCCAGATCGTGAGGCGGCCACTCTATCCATTACTCCACCACTCAACAAAAGGATTGTGCAACCAGGTGCAAACTAGCGCCATGGATTTTACCTAACTACTCATACCTGAGTAAGTATAGCGGATTTTACACACAATCCCCTGAGCATTCGGGACTTATGGAGAGCAGATCAAACCCCAAATCAGATAACCTGAGGTATATTAATGAAAGATGGAAATAATGCACTACCGCATTTTTATCATGAATATATAAACCTCTCTGTTCGGGATCGATCCCGCGCCGCCAGATCGTGAGGCGGCCACTCTATCCATTACTCCACCACTCAACAAAAGGATTGTGTAATCAGGTGCAAACTAGTGCCATGGATTTTACCTTACTCATACCTGAGTAAGTATAGCGAGATTTTACACACAATCCCGTGAGCATTCGGACTTATGGAGAGCAGATCAAACCCAAATCAGATAACCTGAGTATATTAATGAAAGATGGAAATAATGCACTACTGCATTTTATCTGATTTGGGTTTGATCTGCTCTCCATAAGTCCCGAATGCTCACGGGGATTGTGTGTAAAATCTCGTTATACATACTCAGGTATGAGTAGTTAGGTAAAATCCATGGCGCTAGTTTGCACCTGGTTGCACAATCCTTTTATTGAGTGGTGGAGTAATGGATAGAGTGGTCACCTCACGATCTGGCGGCGCGGGATCGATCCCGAACAGAGAGGTTTATATATTTCATGATAAAATGCGGTAGTGCATTATTTCCATCTTTCATTTATATACCTCAGGTTATCTGATTTGGGGTTTGATCTGCTCTCATAAGTCCGAATGCTCACGGGGATTGTGTGTAAAATCCCGCTATACTTACTCAGGTATGAGTTTTGTCTTCGCATCTCCACATAACTTTGTCCTGATGGTCCCTTTCCTTCGTAAAGATGCTGGCCAACTCTGAGTTTCACAGTCGCCCGGTATGATGTTATAATGTGACAGGCCTCGAGGACATTGACACGAGAAGGCTGGGAGGGTAATCTTCATTCAATCCCTCGTACGATGAAACATCGAGCTCGGGGTAGGGTGGTAATGGAAGCTCGGTTGAGTTCTCCATGATGAATGATGTCTCACTCCTTGAAAAATCATCATTATAGCAAGATCACAAGTGTTGAAGCAGTAGCGGAAGTTAGAGCAATTAGGGTAGGTAAGATCAACGGAAACCTCGCGCAACACAGTCACAGCGACATACAAGGTAAGGTCAGCCGACGACCAAGTTATGCGAGGACACTTCGCGCGACACAGTGACCGCGACATAGTGTCCGCCAAACACTGAGTCACCCTCGCGACTTTCCTTCCAGGTCATAGTGTCCGAGACATAGAGACCGTGAACCATATATATATATATATATATATATATATATATATATATATATATATATATAGAGAGAGAGAGAGAGAGAGAGAGAGAGAGAGAGAGAGAGAGAGAGAGAGAGAGAGAGATAAATAGATACATATACATATATACATAGGTATATATATGTATGTATATATGTATATGTATACATATATATTTGTATATATATGTATATATATACACAATATATATATATACACACATATATACATACACACACTCACACAAGCTCACATACATATAAATACATATTCATATAATATATATGTTCATATATACACACACACATATGTAATGTTATATATATATATATATATATATATATATATATATATATATAAATATATATATATATATAAGTTAATATACATGAGTAAATACATATATTAGTAAATATATGTATACATATGTATATGTGTGCATACACACAGATACACATATAAATTTCTATAGTTGTATATATGTACATTTATATATATGTAAACATATATAAGTATATATTTATATATTAGTATATAAATAATTAAGCATATATATATTAGTGTATATATACATACACACACACATACGTATTTATGCGTGTGTTTGTTTAAATATGTATATACACATACATAAAAATACATATATTTGTATATGTTTATGTATGTATAAATATGTAGATACACACATATTCATACACATATATTATAAGATGATTGCCGAAAACCTCATGTGGCACCAAGACAAAACAGTTACGAAGAATTAAAAGAATTAAATCATATAATCTAAAGAACTACAACTAATCTATTTTGACTCTAATCATGTGGAGTTATTTCGTGAATATTCAAATTAACATGAATCATATTGAGACACAGACGCGAGTACATACAAATATTCATGTTTACATCAAATTTTAAAATGCATTTCAGAAGAGTAGCGTAAATGTAAACCTTGATTCCCATAGATCATTTTGGAAAAGTTTTGCTGACGTTCCCGGTGACTGATCCGAACTTTAGCAATGGTCGTTTTTGAAGTCCGGAAATATATGCTCGTTGCCTTTTGGAAAGGGCATTGCATATAAAACAATCCTCATATATTTGGTTAATCCAACATGGTGGCAACGCTAATTATCAGTTGGATTAGTGAACCTAAGCTTTTTGTTTTTTCACATAATGTTTTTTTCTTTATGATTATTTTTAAAGATTCCTTATCCACATTACGTCGATATCGGGTGATATTTTTTCACGCTGGTTTGCATATAAGAAGTGCGGGACAAGCAACCGCAGCAGCAGGCACTCACGTGGCCTACTGAAAGCACGACGACTGTTCTCCTCGTAGTCGCTCCCACTGGTCTTGAGGAAAATGGGAACTGGCAGGTTCCTGGCTGCGGTGGTTGCGGGCCTGGCGCTGGCGTCATGGACTGAGGGTAGATATATCAGTTATTTAAAGTCATTTGCGTAAACAAACACGCTTTTCTCTCTCATCTCTTATATGTCTGTATCTCTCTCTCTCTTTCTCCCTTCACTCTGCTTGTCTGTATTATCCCCTTTACTTCCCCCTCCCCCATCTCGCTGACTCTCGCTTTATTAAACATAATTACTTTAGTAGAATTTTCACAGGGACAGATATATGACTTTATGCACAAAAAAATGTTATTAAAATCATTTGCATTAAAACATATCTTGCGACAAAAATAGGAGCAGAAAGTAAAAGATAAAGCATACAAAATAAATATATATGAGAGAGGTGGTGGGAGGTGCTATGGTTCCGCATCCTTTTACAGCCCACTCAACTGGTCAGCAAAGTCGGGGTGCTTGTACGCATGTTAATCTACGGACGCTAGAAAAAGGTCCAACCAACATGGTCTTTATATAAATATCTATGCCTGTGTTTATATAAATGTTTGTAGATATGTATCGCTAAGTTTCGTTGTAGGTCTCAGCATCTGCTCCACGCTGACCTGTCCGGAACCGAACGGCTTCTTCGCGCACCCGACCGACTGCCACCGCTATGTCAAGTGCGCCCACGGCCACGCCTACGTCGAGACCTGCCCCGCCAACCTGCACTTCAACGAGGCCTCTGGGAGCTGTGACCACGCGGAGAACGCCAAGGTAAGGCCAAGCATATTCACCTCTGTCTCTCCCTATATGTTTATTCATATGCATACACAGAGACATACATATACATTTATATATCTGTATATATAAATACATTTTTTCATACATATATATGGAAACATATAAATCTACACAAATGCATGGACTTACAAATAATTACATACTCACAAAAACACATACATATAAAATTTATAGATATATGTATGCAAATATGTATATATACAAATACGTTTATGCATATAAATGTCTATGAATATTTAACTTGCATATATAAGTATATCATATATGTATATTTCTGCTCACAAAAATACATATATACGTTTATACATATGTACCTATGTGTATGTTTAGTGCATTATATTATATATTTATTTGTATATATATACACATATATAGACATACATGAACATATGTATGCATATAGACAGATCTATATATATACATAAATAAATACATACATACGTATATATGAACATATCTGTATGCACATTTACCTATATACATGTATGTGACTGTATATATATATATGAATCTTATCAACAAATATCTTGGTATCCTGACATGATACATTTTGGGCCATACATTGCCTATAATTCTAAATGGAAATCAGCTTCACAAAAAACACATCCTTCCAGTGCGACATAACCGAGCGGCTGGAGACCGACGGATGTTCCCTTCGGTCCGCTAAGGCCAGTCGATCCTTGCCCGCAGAGTCGGACCTTTCAGTCCAGTGCGACTGTGACTGCTGCCTCAAGCCACACAAGGACTGCAACAAGTACTACGAGTGCAAGGTAGGACGGGCGACGCCCCCTAAAACCTCTTCGGATGTTTCACTCAACTTTACTTATGACTAAGGAAAGCGTGATTTTATTAGACTAGAATCACAAAAAATCATAAAGCTGTTATTGAAAAAGAAGAAAATGTATACATTTCTGTTGTATCTAAAATTGCTTTGATTAGACGGCCGCATCCAGCAAATGCAGTAACAAAAACACTATTATTCTTTTCTTTCATTACAGGATAACGTTGCCTACGTTAAGGAGTGCGGAGGTGATCTGGTGTTCAATCCTGCAAAGGAACAGTGCGATCTTCCAACCAATTATGAATGCCCTAAACCAAATCCTTGTGGCTGCCACTGCCGGTACCCAGTCGACGGGGAGTGCAATGCTTACTATGACTGTAAGTAACATTATAAAAAATACGTCTTTAATCCTTATTTTGCAATTGATGTTAATGAACACCATATGTAAAATATTCTCATTTTCATCCATTTTACCTTATAATAATTTTTGTTCCTAAATTGGCTACTGATTTTGTATAATTTTCCAATACTACGTATTACCATAGTATTAGTATGCTGCTTTGTAGAGTACTGTTTAGAAAGTGACAATTTCACTAAAATATTCCCAGTTGAGTATCAGTTATATTCTTCAAAAGACTGATTATGATTTTATTCAATCTCCAGGCAAGAACAACGAGGCGGAGAAGAAGTACTGCTCAGAAGGTCTGCTGTTCAATCCCGATACCCGCATGTGCGACATCGCTTCAAATGTCCACTGTCCGGGTGTCCCTCCTACACCTGGAACTTGCGATACAAACGTTTTTGATTCCGATGTTAGTTCCTCCCCTTTCTCTCTCCTATGATTGATACTAATAAGCTAATGCGCTAATTGCAGCTATCAGTTACCCACCCATAGTTACCATAGCCATGGCACTCATCCAAATGCCTTGTCAACAGCCTGACTGCAAGTTTTGGGCCGCCAACAACGACTGTCACTGCAAGTGGACGGATGGTGACTGCTCTTGGCAGCACTTCGTCGCCCGTGCCTGTCCCCGCAGCTGTGGATGCCAAGGCAATGTGGACGTCACGAAGCCTCCTGTAATTGACTACCCTTGCGTGGACTGCTCTACCGGCCAACAGTACTGGCAGCATCCCAGCGACTGCCGCAAGTTCATCCAGTGCACATCGTACGGTCCTCAGGAGATGCCATGTGGAGAAGGAACAGTGTGGGACCAAAACCTGCTCACCTGCAACCATGTATGGGCCACTGAGTGCTTGACAGGCAACTTCCTTCTCACTAACGGAAGCTGTTCAGGATGCTCAGGATGCACTCCTCCAGCAAAGCCCCCAACCAACCCTCCAACACACAAACCTGTCACACCAGGCAACTTCCCCTGTGTAGATTGCTCCACTGGCCAGCAATACTGGCAGCATCCTACCGACTGTCACAAGTTCATTCAGTGTGCCCCTTATGGTCCCCAGGAAATGCCATGCCCTGCAGGAACCAGGTGGGACCAGAAGATCCTTACTTGCAACCATGAATGGAACACCCCATGTGTGACAGGGAACTACCTTCTACCCAATGGAAGCTGTTCGGGTTGCACTGGATGCCCAACTGTGACTGTCAGACCGCCAATTGGATGCGGTGGCGAGAATCCAGACTGCAAGCATTGGGCTGCCAGCGGAGCCTGCACCTGCAAGGCAGGTAGTGACTGTACTTGGGCAAACCAAGTGGCTTCAATGTGCCCCAAGACCTGCCGAGGGGAATGCGGCCCAATTACTTCACGACCAGACGACTGCAACCCCTCGTGTCCTTCTTACAGTGGTCTTTTCCCACACCCAAAGGCCTGCACCAAGTGGGTTCACTGCGATCACTTCATCCCCTACGTGAAGGACTGCCCTGCCGGATTGCACTTTAACCCAACACTCAAGGTACCTAGTGATTTCTTAAGCAAGAACGGAGAACCTTCTATTACACACTATTCCACTTAACCTCAGCCTACATGTGTAATGGGATATCCAATTTTGAGTATACTTGCTTCTGTCCATTTTGCACACTGAGTTTGGCTACTTTGATGCTTTATGAATATGTTCTTTAACTATTTCATTTGGATCTATATTTTTTATCTTCTATTGGTGATGTCTAAATCTTAACTTGTTTAAAAAAGGTATGCGACTGGCCAGATAGGGCAGGCTGCACCTCAGGGGACCACCAGAGTTGCGAAATTAAACCTGACCCAATTCCCACTGGCCCACCTCCCACAGTCGACCCCAGATGCACATGCGAATGTTGCCATATCCCTCACCCGACTGACTGCACATCCTATTACTACTGTGATGTAGGTTATTTCCTTTTATTTGAATCTATCTTTTATATTACATGATTCACATAGCTGTTTTCAGTCTGACACATGCATATGATTGAATCTGGTATAACTTAAGCAATGATTGATGTGATCTCCAAACACAGTGATTGAAGACATTAAACTGTTTTCAGGTGAACAAGAACATTACCTACTTCACGTGCTCGTCTGGGCTAGTATTCCACCCGGAATTGGATACGTGTGTGCCCGCTCAAGAGTACCCAGAATGTGACATTGAACAGCCTCCAACTTGCGAGTGTGACTGTCACTATCCCTCACGGGTTTGCAGCGAATATTTTGTCTGTGAGTGACGAAGTCAACTTCACCAATTTAGATATCTAACCTCGAACATATTTCTAACTATATATTGGTTACTAACGTGTCATGCATAAATATGCCCCTTCTTTAATTGGCGCATGATTTTTGCTTACGTTTTTCCAGGCAACGACGGTACGCCCGAAAAGAGGGAATGCCCCTCCGGTCTCCTCTGGAACCAAGAAACGAAGTCCTGTGATCATGCCGGCAACGTCGATTGCAGCAATCGGCGAACGTAAGGCTTCGATCGTGCAACTAGGCCAGGATTTTCGATCCGAAAGACACATGACTGACAGAAATCTTTCATTAACTACAGTGGAACGTCCTCACGACCTTCTTTAAGAATTACGAATTGCCAAAAAGCACGACCATTTTTTTTTTTTTTTTTTTTTTTTTGGAAAAGTTGCTTCCTTGATATTACTTTTTTATGATTTTGTTTTCTGATGATTATGTTTCTTTGTCAAAAATTTGAACTCTTCTTGCAATGCATCTTGAAAAAGCATATATATATTTTTTCATTTCCCAAAATGAACCACGAGCGTATAATCAAACTCTAGCCAAAACTAAAATACTATTACTACTGCGCCAGTCAAAATACTCGACACTATGAACTAGAGTGAAAAATAATCATGGAATTAAGGCATGGACTGCAAAAAATACTTATTGAAGAAGAAAAAAATCAGATTCGGACAATACATTACATACACAATATGCACACCAAATAGATATGATAACTCCTTCCCTGTTCTCTTTTCACACACCCTGTTCCTTGGCGTCCTATGTGCTGAGTGGCAGACGTGAAGGATCCCCATACAGATGTTACATGAAAATGTCGCCAAAGAGAGATTCTATTTACAAGCAAATTTTATATTCTGTTGATACTTACCATTTTTGACTGCACTGAAAGGCACACAAGAACGTTCGTTGCTAATGATGATGATGATAATGATATTCATAAACACGATGACAACAATAATGATAATATCACTGATAATTGTAATGATAATGAAGATGATTATGATCAAACCAATATGAATAATGGTAATGTATATATAATATATATAATACATATAAAAAATATATAATACATATTTTCATATATAGTACATATATATGTATATATATATATGTATATATATAAATAAATATATAATATAAATAAATAAATAAATAAATATATATATATATATATATATATATATATTATATATATATATATATATATATATATATATATATATATATATATATATATAAATATATGATACATATATGTATGTGTGTTGGTATATATATACACATATGCAGAGACAGCTAGATATATATCACACGTATATGTGTATGTGTACACACACACAGACACATTTATTAATTACCGATCCGAAGCTATGATCAGCAGGTGCGCGTTCGAGGAATACATTTCCTTAGAGGAATTTATCGAAGGATTTTTTAAAGGTAAAATAAAAATGACATGCAATTATACATGTTTATATCAAATTCTAGAATGCATTTCAGAAGGGTAGCGTAAATGTAAACCTTGATTCCCATAGATCATTTTGGAAAAGTTTTGCTGACGTTCCCGGTGACTGATCCGAACTTTAGCAATGGTCGTTTTTGGAGTCAGGCAATATATGGCTCGTTGCCTCTTGGAAAGGGCATTGCATACAAAACAATCCTTATATATTCGGTTAATCCAACATGGTGGCAACGCAGTTCTGGAACCCTTTCTTAGATTTCCCGAGCTAATTATCAGTTGGATTAGTGAACCTAAGCTTTTTGCTTTTTCACTTTATTTTTTTCTTTGTGATTATTTTTAAAGATTCCTTATCTACATTACGTCGATATCTGGTGATGTTTTTTCACGCTGGTTTGCATATAAGAAGTGCGGGACAAGCAACCGCAGCAGCAGGCACTCACGTGGCCTACTGAAAGCACGACGACTGTTCTCCTCGTAGTCGCTCCCACTGGTCTTGAGGAAAATGGGAACTGGCAGGTTCCTGGCTGCGGTGGTTGCGGGCCTGGCGCTGGCGTCATGGACTGAGGGTAGATATATGTTATTCACAGCCATTTGTGTAAACAAACACGCTTTTCTCTCTCATGTCTTGTGTGTCTGTATCTCTCTTTCTCCATTCCTCACTCTGCTTCTCTGACTCTCGCTTTATTAAACATAATTAATTTAGTAGAATTTTCACAGGGACAGATATATGACTTTATGCACAAAAAAACTTGTTATTAAAATCCTTTGCATTAAAACATATCTTGCGACAAAAATAGGAGCAGAAAGTAAAAAATAAAGCATACAAAATAAATATATATGAGAGAGGGTGTGGGAGGTGAGATAGCTCGGCCATCCTTTTACAGCCCTCTCAACTGGTCAGCAAAGTCGGGGTGCTTGTACGCATGTTAATCTACGGACGCTAGAAGAAGGTCCAACCAACATGGTCTTTATATAAATATCTATGCCTGTGTTTATATAAATGTTTGTAGATATGTATCGCTAAGTTCGTTGTAGGTCTCAGCATCTGCTCCACGCTGACCTGTCCGGAACCAAACGGCTTCTTCGCGCACGCGACATAACCGAGCGGCTGGAGACCGACGGATGTTCCCTTCGGTCCGCTAAGGCCAGTCGATCCTTGCCCGCAGAGTCGGACCTTTCAGTCCAGTGCGACTGTGACTGCTGCCTCAAGCCACACAAGGACTGTAACAAGTACTACGAGTGCAAGGTAGGACGGGCGACGCCCCCTAAATCCTCTTCGATTGGTGCACTCAACTTTACTTATGACTAAGGAAAGCGTGATTTTATTAGATTAGAATCATAAATCAAAGCTGTTATTGAAAAAGAAGAAAATGTATACATTTCTGTTGTATCTAAAATTGCCTTGATTAGATGGCCGCATCCATCAAATGCAGTAACAAAAAACACTATTGTTCTTTTCTTTCATTACAGGATAACGTTGCCTACGTCAAGGAGTGCGGAGGTGATCTGGTGTTCAATCCTGCAAAGGAACAGTGCGATCTTCCAACCAATTATGAATGCCCTAAACCAATCATTTGTGGCTGCCATTGCCGATACCCAGTCGACGGGGAGTGCAATGCATACTATGACTGTAAGTAATAATAATGGTAATAAAAAATACAACTATTTAATCTTTATTCCTAAATTGGTTTCTGAATTTATATAGTTTTATTTAAATTAAACCTATATCTTTGCAGTCAATACATGGTATTAGCATGCTGATTTGTAGAGCACTATTTCATTTGAATAATTTTTAGTTGAGTATTTTCAAAATCTGTCCTATTTTCCCCTATTAATTGCATTCTTTTAGAAGGTTGATTATGATTTTATTCAATTTCTAGGCAAGGACAACGAGGCGGAGAAGAAGTACTGCTCGGAAGGCCTGCTGTTCAACCCCGATACCCGCATGTGCGACATCGCTTCAAATGTCCACTGCCCGACTATCGATCCAACAGTTGGCCCTTGCAATGAAAACGTCTTCGATTCCGATGTAAGTTGCTCCTCTTTCTTTCTTCAATAATTGATACAAATAAGCTAATAAGCAGACATCAGTTATAATAGTTATCGTAGTCATGACACTCATTCAAAGGTCTTCTCAACAGCCTGACTGCAAGTTCTGGGCCGCCAACAACGACTGTCACTGCAAGTGGACGGATGGTGACTGCTCTTGGCAGCACTTCGTCGCCCGTGCCTGTCCCCGCAGCTGTGGATGCCAAGGCAATGTGGACGTCACGAAGCCTCCTGTAATTGACTACCCTTGCGTGGACTGCTCTACCGGCCAACAGTACTGGCAGCATCCCAGCGACTGTCACAAGTTCATTCAGTGTGCCCCTTATGGTCCCCAGGAAATGCCATGCCCTGCAGAAACCAGGTGGGACCAGAAGATTCTCACCTGCAACCATGAATGGAAAACCCCATGTGTGACAGGGAACTACCTTCTACCCAATGGAAGCTGTTCGGGTTGCACTGGATGCCCAACTGTGACTGTCCAACCGCCAGGTGATTGCGGTGGCGAGAATCCAGACTGCAAGCATTGGGCTGCCAGCGGAGCCTGCACCTGCAAGGCAGGTAGTGACTGTACTTGGGCAAACCAAGTGGCTTCAATGTGCCCCAAGACCTGCCGAGGGGAATGCGGCCCAACTACTTCACGACCAGACGACTGCAACCCCACGTGTCCTTACAGTGGTCTATTCCCACACCCAAAGGCCTGTACCAAGTGGGTTCACTGCGATCACTTCATCCCCTACGTGAAGGACTGCCCTGCCGGTTTGCACTTTAACCCAACACTCAAGGTACATAGTGATTTCTTAAGCAAGAACGGAGAACCTTCTATTACACACTATTCCACTTAATCTCACCCTTCATGTGAAATGGGGTCTCCAGTTTTGAGTATACTTGCTTCTGACCATTTTACATGCTTTGATACTTTATGAATATGTTCTGTATCCATGTCATTTGGAACTACATTTTATATTCTATTGGTGATGTCTAAATCTTTACTTGTTTAAAAAGGGATGCGACTGGCCAGATAGGGCAGGCTGTACCTCAGGGGAGCACCAGACTTGCGTAATTCCCCCTCCCCTAATCCCTACTGGCCCCCCTCCTACGCCAAGCCCCGAATGCACATGCGAATGTTGCCATCTCCCTCACCCGAATGACTGCGCAGCGTATTACTACTGTGATGTAGGTTATTTCTTGTTTGATTATATTATTTATATTTGATTCACATATCTTTTTTCAGTCTGAAACGTGCACATGATTGAATTTGGTATATCAAAAGCAATCTGAGTGATGTAACATCCAAACACAATGACTCAGTAAAGATTAAAATATTTACAGGTGAACAAGAACAGTACCTTCTTCACGTGCCCATCTGGGCTAGTATTTAACCCGGAGAAGGATACATGTGACTACCCTGAAAATTACCCAGAATGTGTCATTGAACAGCCTC